GCTGGGCGGAGCAAGGTGCTCTCCGGGCCGACCCCGCCAGCCCAGGCTGCTGGACACCAGGGAGAGCGGAACAGGCCTCTCCGGGGGCTCCGGGCCAGGTGTCAGCGTAGGCAGACATGGCACGTCCCCCCGAGAAAACCAGCACTGGTCCCGGGGCCTGTGGCCCGGACCTCTCAGCTGCCCTCCCCGGGTCCCCGGCGACGTCGCCGGACAGGGGCTGCGACCTGGGCTGTCCCCCGAGGCGCTCTCAGGGCACCTCAAGCCCCCGGCCCCCTGCATCCAGGCTGGATGAGCACAGGGCATTAAGGGATGGTAGGGTGCTGGCTCCCCGACCTTCCAGACCCTGGGGCTCCCCCATGGCCAAGCCGGGGGCTTCAGGGACCGCAGGGGACACTGGCGATGCCAGAGGCCCTGAGGGGAGGCAGGAGCGGAGGGGACAGCGGTGGGGGGCGTGGCTGTCCCTCCGTGGCAGTGCGGTCCACTCGGTGAGGAGCCGGTTCTGACCCGTTCTCAGGCTGCTGGGCTGCAGGTGGGTGGTCCTGGGCCCCCACCCCCACCCCTGGGCCTCCCTCAGGGGCTGTGGAACTCTCACCACCTCCCTCAGGCTGCCTCTCTGCACCCCAAAACCCCATCCTCCCACCCCCTTCTCAGCCCCAGCCAGCAGACTGGACCAGGCCCCAGGGCCACCTCCTGCCTGACCCCAGCTCCAGCCTGACCTGTACATACCCCACTTCCAGGGTCCCGGGGAGCCCCGTCGACTGTACCCACCGGCCAGAGCCCGCTATGCCAGGCCACAGACGGGCTCCCTCCGGCCCCCTCCCTGGCAGTGCCCCCCCACAGTGCCCTTGGCTGCCAGCGGGGCTGGGGTCCCTCTGAGGGGCCCCGTGGGGCTAACTGCTCTGCGCTCCCACAGATGGCGCCCTGGACCTCAGGCTTGCTGTCCACAGAGGGCCGCACCGGGGGCCAGGAGCCCCGGCGTGGCTGCCGCCTTCCCTGGGCCCTGATCGGCCAGGGGAGCCCGGTGGAGAGCAGAAGGCCCGGCCGGGCGGGTGGGGGGGTGGAGTCGGGGTCAGGGCGCCTTCCTCCGCCGCCCCCCCACCGGTGGGGGCCTTGCCCCAGTGCGGGCTCCGGGTCCATGTGCCCAAGTCCTCGCTGCCCTGGGGGACTTTCCCGAAGGCTGGGGGGGTCAGCTGCTCTCGGCTGGGGCGCGGGGATACCCCTTGGGCCTCCCAGCCTGAGGGGGCGGGGCGGGGGCGGGGCGACGGC